GAACGCAATAAAAATATTTACTAACATGACCCCTCCCGGGCTCCGTACAAACTAGCATAGTCTACTGCAAAAATGCAATATGGTCTAAAAAATATTGCAGCAATGCAGTTAACATAAAATAACAGCAGCTTTTTTTGTAAAGGTACTTCCACATGTAGTAATTTTATATAAACAACAATATTATTAGCTTTATCATCCATATTTTAGATAGTAAGCAAGTAAATTAATTTACATCTTCATCTACAGGTATGCAGAATTCAGCAAAGCAAAGAAAGGGACCAGTGAGGAGGGACAGAGCTGCATTGAGTTTTTCTTGGTTCAGACAAGAGGTGTGCAAGTATACCACCAGGGGCATCCTAGACAGAGGATCATCACTGAGTCAATAGTCAATGACCTCGTCATTGGATGCAATTTGCCCCTGTCTTTAATTGAGCACCCCAACTTCAGGAAATTTTTATCAGTGACAGAGGAGAGATATAATCCAGTGAGTCGATATACGATTACAAGACGTGTGAGTGACCTAGCATTAGAGAAACAGACCTCTATCAAATCAAAACTAGAAAAGACAGACACTCTATGTGTGACTGTGGACATTTGGACAGACAGGAACATGCGTGGCTTTTTAGGGGTAACAGCCCACTTCATGGAGATCGACAGAAGTAACCCAAGACTCCAAACAGTTCTATTAAGTTGTGAGAGATTCACAGGGTCACACACTGGTCAAAGAATTAGTGATGCGTTTGAAGAAATATGTGACTACTTTTACATCAAGCACAAAATAGATTACATTATCTGTGACAACGCATCCAACATGAAGAAAGCCTTCACTGTTTGTTTTCCCTCTGGTACAAGTAATGAAGATGATGATGAAGGCCTGGAAAATGGTTACCTCTGGGAAGACCTAAGTGAAGAGTACCAGGATGATATGGAAACCATCCGGAGCAGTTGCCGACAACAACGGCTGCAGTGCTTTGCTCATTCACTTCAGCTTGTTGTGCGAGACGGACTGAAAGAGACAAAAGTTCTGAGCAGTGCCATGGCAAAGGTGACCAAATTCTGCAGTTTACTACATTCCACTTGTGGGCTAAAAGAAGCATTTGAGACAGAGTATAGAGCCAACCGCAGCATCCCCTCAGCGGTATCAACACGATGGAACAGTACTCTCCGCCTTGTGGAGTCAGTCACTAACTTGGACCTCCAAAGTCTAAATGCACTCCTGGAAGCCCAAGGTCATAAAAGCCTGTGTCTGTCAGCCAGAGAATGGGGTCAGCTGAAAGAGCTTGTGGAAGTTTTGACCCCATTTCATCAAGCCACAGACCTTACTCAAGGGGAGAAAGTGGTGACCCTTAGTGCAGCGCTCCCTTGTGTACTCTCACTGAACAGTCACCTCATCAGGATGCTGAGCACGACGCGCCACCTGGTGGGTTTAGTAAAAGCACTACAGAAGTCCCTCCAGATCCGGTTTGAGGGGATGTTTGTGAATGTCAGAATGGATGACTCCAGTGACCTGGCAGTGGATCTTCCATTTGGAGATACTGTCTACATGATGTCTGCATTGCTAGACCCATCATTTTGCTTCTTTTGGCTAGAGCAAGATGTCCAAGGGCCAGACGAAGTTAAGAGTGAGGTGAAGGAGATGATTATAGGTAGGTATACACAGCCTTGCTAAAAGCCAACACAAACACAAAACAATAACTTTACCCTCAACTCTGTGTTACTCTGTATTATTGTCATTATAATATAACTAAGTGTGGATTTATTGAACTTTTTAAGAACTTGTCTTGGCTGAGGCACGCAAAGTCACTGTACCAGACAGCAGCAGTAGTGGTGATGATGACCAAGAGCCATCACCACCAAAAATTCCACATCTCTTCTCTGGATACAAAAAAAGCAAGAAAACCATTGACCATGGCTCATCTGTGAAGGCAGAGCTGATCCGCTATATTCAGTTGTCAGCTAGTGGAGAGGACGAAGGATGTCTGGACTTTTGGCAAAGGCATCAGAAGGCTTTCCCAAGGCTTTATCTTGTGGCTATGAGGGTCCTGGCTGTGCCTGCCACCAGTGCACCTGTGGAGAGGGTGTTCAGCCACGGTGGGATCATCATGCGCCCTCACAGAGCCAGACTAAGTGCAAAGACACTGTCAGAGTTAATGTTTTTGAAATGCAACTATTATGTTGTCTAAACCCTTTCCCAGGATAATGTTTAAAGGTTTGTTCCCACAGGTGTTTTGGCGTATATGTATTGGTCACCTTTTGGCAGACTTTGTAATTGCTTTATTTTGTTATTTTCCTCATTATTTGCAGTTGTTAAAAGACAAGGAAATTGCCAGTTTAGTGCCTTTGGCACTATGATTGGTGGTAGAATATTATCAGAACGGATTTTAGACCTTAAGAATGGAAAGGCTGTTAAATAAGTTTCTTAATGTATCCTGTCTTTTCATGTGATTTCAAAATACATTTATCAAGCTCAAAGCTTTCATGATGTTTCTTCACACTGCACATTGAAATAGCCCTCTGAAGTGCATGTTCTGATCAATTTTGATACTGTAGTGTATAATAATAGATGATATAGTACAGTACATGCTTTTAATCTAAAACATACAGCAATGCAGTATTATCTTAGATAGCATCTGATGAGAGAACGTTCATTTCAGTCATTTGAGACTTGAGACTTGACTTGGACTTGGGACTAAAGACTTGAGACTAGACTTGACATTGCCACTCAAAGACTTGAGACTTGACTTGGACTCGAGCACAAAGACTTGAGACTTGACTTGGACTTGGAAAAAATGACTTGTGAACATCTCTGATGTATATTGATTCATTCGTCAGCCAAACTTAAATTTCTTATTTCGCGTGTCAAATATTGAAATGTGATTAAAATGTGATAAATTTTGATTAATTAATTACAAAGCTTCTAATTAATTAGATTATTTTTTTAATCAAGTCCCACCCCTAGTTTATACCTTATAGGAAAATTTGGAGAAATGACTTGTACCATTTTCTTGGAAATTGTACAGTAAAAGTTTAAATTATTTTGTCTGAGCATAGCCTTTCATATGCTATATGACTTGTTTATACATTATAGGCAAGTAAGAAAATAATTGTACTTAATCCATATGAGCATTCACCATTTATAATTGATACTTTATTGATCCCCATGGGTAAATTGTCTTTATGTCTCCCTCAACTTTCTCTTTGTAGAGTAAGCTGCTTGCAAAGGATAGCTACCTCTTGCAGCATCCAGGGAGCTGTGGGTTAAAGGCCTTGCTCAAGGAGCTGCAGATGTGCTTAGGCTAGGTTTGAACCAGTGACTTTCTGATTACAGGCACACAGGCTTAGCCCACTGAGCCACACACAGTCCCATTTCTTTATGTGCTGGCAATATGGATCAAAAACCATGTGTGAGTTTCCCGAAGCATTGTTGACACTATATCATTCGTAAGTTCTATTTTTTAATGTAGAACTAACGAACAACGTAGCGTTAAGAAGGTTTCGGGAAACTCACCCCGTATCTTGACATTAACCACCGTATTAAAGTACAAAATCCCATCCTAAATGACTGATGACCTGTCTTGTGATTGGCAGGGATTGTGCTTGACTGGATCTATGCTCATTTGCTCTTTCTGAGTATCACAAATGTTTTTCTGAATCTGAATTTTTTAATGCAAATTTTCTCAATGTGAATCTTCCTATAACCCGAGCTTTCAAGAGCTGAATTTTACAACCTGAACTTGAATTTTTATTGCCACACAAGCAACATAAATTTAAGTTCGGGTAATGAGTTCAAATTTGGTGTCTCTAATTCAAGTTCAGGTAAACATATTCAAGTTTGGGTTCTTTCATTCAAATTCAGGTTGTGGTGAGTCTGATTTGACGCCATATAGTAGACCCTATACAGGATACCAGTGAATCACATTACATACGCAACCAAACAATAAAGGAGATTTACAGAGATCAATCAGAATTAATCACAGCTCTGGGGTCTGGGTGTCAGGCCATCTGTACTGTAACAAGCAAACAATCTATGCATATATCATTCAAAAATATATAGCAGTGATAGCACTGTGTTATTTGATTCTGTGATCAGTTTTATAAACAGTATGATGCCTATTCCATTCTAGCAAATTCAAAAATTACCTGAAAACATAAGTGGGACATTTTGTTTAAACATTTTATTAAATATACACAATTAGTTGTAGAGCCTGAATGAAACAAAAATGTAATGAATTCAAAATGTACAAGCATTATGCATTAATGTAGAAAATATGCTACAAAAGTATATGTACACACTGAGTCCTAACATTAAGCATTTGTAACTGTTTAAGAACTTCTGTCTCTCAGACATTTTGCAGATGGCAAAAATATTTATTAAAAATGAATGTGACATTTTCTTTGTGTTTAGTATGACACACAGTGAGAACATCCTTATCAAAGTAAAAATCTTATTCTTTAATTTTTACTGAGGGGTGGAGGGTCATGAAATATATCACTTTGATGGACAGTTAAACTTTATTACTGCATATTAATGTAAAATTAACCAAACTACAAGCCTGATCAAGTAAATGAAGACTTTCCATGTCCTTTTATGTTCAGTATGGCACCTATAATATAATGCATTACCTGTGAGCTGTCCACAGGAGCCAATGTATATAGCTTGCATAACACTTTTTGGAAATCAGGTCAATTATGTTAATTCTGTGTATATCCACTTTGCAGAGTGTACTTGAAATTAGAATTCATTTAACCATCACCACCCCATTTGAAATAATTTTGTGTCAAGGGTGTAGAGACCCCTGCATTAACATATTGTGCTTTTTTGTAATATGATTTACAGTGCTCAGAGGGGCACTATATGGTTTGAATAGGCTGCACAAGACACAATTACTTAGTCTAGTCATGTGTTTTTTTCCAGCCACACTCCAAACTTGATACCAAACATCAGTTATGGTCCATGAAATGTCCATTAAAACACCTTGATTATGAAATGCACAGCATGGCTTTTGGCCTAAACTCAAACATTGCCAGCAAGTATACGAGCTTTGTTTGAAATATATAATAATAGCACACAGTTAAATATTTATCTGAAAGGCCCCAAAATATGTAGCATTTTTACCCACTGAAGAATGGGTTTTTTGAAAGAATCCCTGCAGTGAAAGCAGCCTAGGAGTCTGTTTCTGCCCTGGAGTGAACATATGAAACCAAACATCAATAGCTACATTTTCCATAGTCTCCTACATCAAGGACAGTAAAAATACATTGACCTGTATATTGACACCACATCATTTGATATCACCACCTAGAAAAGGAAGTGAGAGATACATCAGGGGTGGTGGAGAATGAACTCTGAGAACAGCTAGGATATGTACCTTCAGTAGTATGACCCCAAGTGGGAATGGCTTCCTGGGTGTCGGGGCATTGTGGAGGCAGGGTAGATGGGATTGGACACTGTGTTCCAGTATGTGGAGGAGGGGCTAAAAAAGTTCCCAGAGGAGACTGGCAGAGGAGAGGGGTGGGAGGTCATGAAGTTCATCTTAGGCTGGTGGCTGTGGTAGGGCTGCATGTATGCTGTTTCCGGCTGGTACTTGAGGACGCTGCCCTCATTAGCGTGGTTGTGGTGTGCCTGAGAAATGCCGTGGAAGTCAAACTTGTAAGCATATCGCTTGCCGTGCACCTTGGTCATGATGTTCTTGTCATAGTAGTAGCGCAAGGCACGGCTCAGCTTGTCATAGTTCATGTTGGGCTTGCTCTTGCGCTCACCCCAGCGCCGTGCCACCTCGTCTGGGTCTGTCATCTTGAACTCGCCATTAGAGCCTTCCCAGGTGATGATGTTTGCATTGTTGTTGTCTGACAAAAGCTCCAGAAGGAACTGCCATAGCTGGATTTGCCCAGAACCTTTTAGATAAAGTTGTGAAATGAACAGTCTAAACAGTATCTGACACACAATAATTAAACTTTAAACAGAAACTCATTGTATTATGGTTTGCACTGCTCTAAAGTTATACAAAAGATTTAAACAAATGTGACCGCTTTTGCTATATGCTTTGAGGAGAAAACAGAATATATTGTTTTTTATATTTGGTTATGAACCTACCCACAATCCTGTGTGTGCCAGTGTCAGACAGCTTGTGTGAATTATGTTTAACTTGATGGCTCTTGGAGTGGAGTGCTGGGGATTCTGTGATGAGACATGGGCAGATGGGTCATTTGGGTCCCAAGCTGTAGGCTCCATATTTTCAGGAGTGTAAACATAGGCTGAGACTGACAGTATAATGTACAGAAAACTGCATCTGTACTATTTAAGCATTTTGCCCTGTCACATCACGCCTTCTTATTTGTTTTGGCAAAGCAGACAGTAAAAGGTCACATTTGTCATTCTTTTAGTCAAGCACTGTTTTTTGTCACTTAATTTGTTGTACAGTCATGTGCCACATAATGACATTTTAGTCAATGATGGACCACATGTATAACTAGTCCTATAAGATTATACTGAAAAATTCCATTGTAGCCGTCATAACATCATAATGCAACACATTACTTATGTGTTTGTGATGATGCTGGTGTAAACAAATATATTGTGCTGCCAGTTATGTAAAAGTATATCACATGCAATTATGTACATTACGTAATGCTTGATAATGATAATAAACAACTATGTTACTGGTTTATGTATTTACTATGCTGTACTTTTTTTTGTTAGAGTGTACTTTTTCTACTTACAAAAAAGTTTACTGTAGCCTAGGTATGCTATACCATATAGGTTTGTGTAAACACACTCTATGATCACACAAAGACAAAATTGCCTAGCAGTGCATTTCTCAGAATGTATCCCTGTTGTTAAGCAACACATGACTGCAGTAGATTAAAAGTGAAGCATTAATTCCAATTGAAAAATGTTTATTTTGTGTTATTTATTTCAGTAGGAAGTCTAAGGGACATATTAGCTTTACATTATATGTAAAGTCAGTTCTTACCTGGGTTCGATAAACGACTGCTGATGGGCCCAAGTGCTTGGTAAGGATCTGATAAAGTACAACATTATAGAAGTTTTGCAGCTATACTGATCACATTACAGACCAATGTTCAGCTATTTTATACTCCAGTGGTCTGCTATATTACACTGCAATGGTCAGCTACGTTATACTCCAGGGGTTAGGTATATTATCTCCAGTGGTCAGTATTTTGGCAGTAAGTGCAGTATGGAGAAGCTTTGATCTGTACCTGTTACATGTCGAGGTGGGGCCTCTGTCACTCTGCTGCTGTGCTGGTGTTCTATTGGGGAACCTGGATAAGTATGGTCATATGCTAGTGATTCAGAAAATGTCAGCATTCTGTATATTCCAGTTTTTGCCTGTCATTCCTATTACTACATTATGAAGTCCTTATTGATTTTGATGTTTTTACATACCAAAGTTACAGCTCAAAATCCAACAATCAAACTTCTCAAGGTTGAAATTCTAAAATATTTTAAGTTTACCAAAAATGCATGTGCTACCTTTATGCCTGATCGATATAAATGGTTTAAACACTGGTAAAAAGGTGGCAGGCCTAACTAGCTCAGTGCACTAGATGTGTTTTTTGGAAAAGTTCTAAGAACATGGTGAGTTTTGGAAATTTTCTGAATGGTTGTCATTGAATTACATGAGGACTGAATGACTTTTGATTTCTAACACTGGCATTCAGATCGTTTGTCCACCCAATGGTTTGCCAACCACACCCAGTCGACAATTTTTACTGTCACCACCCTGGTCAACACCCCCCCCCCCTCAGCCATCTGATTTATTCTGGCACCAATGTTACTGTATCATTGGTCATTGGTGGCCTCATCTCCAAAACAACAAAAAGTTCAGTGCGTTTTGGAAATTTGCTCTTAATTTTAAGCAGCTGCTGTTGCACCCTTGAACTATTTGCTGTTTTGTACCTTTCTGTACAGTGGATAAAGGTGTGGCTGACCAGCTGTTCCTCCTGCTGATTTCCTCAAAGTTGTTCTCTGTAGCAATTAAATGGAAAGCATGGAATGGCATTAACTGACATATACTAGCAATATAGACAGAAATACACAAAACCCAGCAAATCTGCAAGTACAAATAATGAATCTGTAGAAAAGAGGAATGACGATAATGGTATAGAAAGAGTGTAGTTGTACAGACTATGGAGCATGGACATGATGCAATAGTAAAAGAACTATGTGAACCTTTTGGAATTATCTAGTTTTCTGCATTAATTTTTTATTTAAGTTACAATAATGAACAAATACAATCTTTTACATTTTTACTGATAACACAAATTATTGGGTAACGCATTACGTTAACTGCAGCTTCATAATGCCTTTATAATGCATTCATAGAACATTAATTGGCAGCATGCAATCAGCCAAACATACTTTAACAGCTGTAATACAGATGCTCCCCAGATTACAATGGTCTGTGTTACGATATTTTGACCTTATGATGGGTATGATTATTCAATAAATTACAAGAGATATTCAATTCCTTATTCTAAAATAGGTTTTGTGTTCATGAATTTGCCCAACTGTGGGCCAATGTTGTCAGGGTTGGTGTCTGCCCATGCCTATCCGAAGTGTTTCGTGCCCATTTGGACAGCAGGTGTTGTAACCATGCAGTCATGGGCAGACATTTCCCAGCCTTACTTGTTTTTTTTTTTGTTTATTGGCTTTCATAATCAACTAAGTTTTTTTAGTGTTTATTAGTTCCTTGCTTCCCTGTTTTGGTTTATCCTACTTGTGTCTGGTTTGATTCTGTTCTGTTTGTGTTTGTGTTCCTAGTTTAACTCCTTCCTAGGGGGTATTTTCCGTACGTCGCTTAAATCATCCGAGATGAAATGCCTCATCTTGGATGAGTTAAGGTCGGTGAAACTCATCCAGGATAAGTCAGTTTTTCAAATGCAGCTGTGTAGTAGATTAGGCTAGCTGGATCCATTCATCTGACACAATTGTGCGCGCCTGTGCTGCTTGAAAAGCCCATATATATCGAGTCTACAAAACTTGATCAGCAAGTCTCCCATTGGTCAAAAAACAGGGCGCAATTTTTCATGCAATCCGAGCAGGACCTTTCTTTAGAGGGGTATGATGAATTCAAAGCACTAAAGGAAACACATCAAAAACGGCCCAAACCAGAATAAACGGCTGGCAAAAAGTGTCCAACAAATTAAATGTGTAAGCAGTTTTTAGTTATTGTATTATCACTTGAATGTAGTATTACGTTTCCAATATTTCATTATTATCTTATTGTCATTATTACAGATCAAATGCATAATCATGCAGGACATGGGAACAAGTTAAAGTGAAGTACAAAAATATACTTCAAACTGGTAAACACGACATTTCATTCATATATATATATATATATATATATATATATATATATATTAGTGCTGTCAAATGATTAAAATTTTTAATCAGATTAATCACAGGGTTCCTGTGGATTAATTTTGATTAATCAATCAT